GACATGGTTTGGTGAGATAACAAAGAGAAGAAGAAGAAGTAAAACAGTGGAATAGTGAGGGTAATTATGATTCTTGCCATTTTGTTCTTTGTTGTTTGATAAAACAGAGGAGATAGGAATTTTTAGTAGAAAGAAGATAACTTCTTTTCTTTTTGTTGATTTATTCAATATGATGTCCAACTAATGATGGTATACCAATTCGAAGGAAGAATATGTAAAACTAATATAGTTTTCATCCATGATAGCTATATATCTTTACTTAGACAAAATCATAAAGTTGACACAATTGTTTTTGTGTTTCTTAAGCAAAACATAGACTTAGTCCTACAAATTGGAAGAAAGAGTTTGATGCAGAGAGTAAAGAAATTACTGCAGACTCATGGCGGCGAACGGGAGAAGAATGTAACCTTGAATAGGATAGGCTTGAAGTGCTGGAGTTGTACCTTGAACAGCAAGAGTTGTACCAAACATCATAGGGCCAAAACCACTGGTAGGAAAGAACAACCCGGGAGGAGTTGTAGCAGCTGATGGAGGAGTTGTGGTACCATTAAAGGTGAAATGACCAGAAGCAGAGGAGCTACTCGTTGCTCCACATGCAGTGCATCCATGTGCTGGGGGAGAAATAGTTGCGGTTTCATGGGGTCTCTGAACACTCGAGTTAAAGGGAGGAACTGTTGTGGAGGATGGTGAAATAGAGCTCGGAAACTGGGAACGGAAAACAGTGGAAGGCGCATTACGTTGATCGAAAATGCTAGATGAAGGTGTTGTTCCACCAGGGAAGGCACGAAAATCAACACCAGTTGTAGGAGTAAATATTGATGGTGACACAGTTGGTGGTGGAGCAAATGTTGATGGCGACACATTTAATGGTGGAAAAGCAAAGTTTGGCCTTGAGCCTATGGGAGATGCAGAAGCAGCAGGAAACGACCCACCTGAACATGAGATTAGTCAAAATTACATAGAGATATAAAAGAGAAAATGTTATATATGTATAAAAGATTTAACTGATGAGTTAGTTAGTTAGTTACCTTTGACTCCTTGCTTGTAATCTTCCCACCTTAGTTCTTCATGGCTTTTATGTAGATAAGGTTTGGAAGCAGATATGGAAATATAGATTTCGCCTTTTCCTTTTTCAGTGGGGAAACTCCAACCAGATGTGTTTTCTCCGTCATGTGTAGGCGCATAACCAGGATTCCTACTACCTTGTTCAGTGGGGCGACTCCATTCATGAGATGCAAAAGGATAGGATCCACTATTGAGATTGTTGCTAAATGCAGGGGTTGATGAAAAAGGCGATCTTGGAAACACAGTAGCTCCATTCAAACCAAAACGTTGAGGACCTGCACCGACTGAACCACCACCAAAATTTGGTGGGTTTGATCTAAATAGGTTGGAGGAAGATCCAGGCAGGTAACCAACACCAAATCCAGGAATACAACTGTTCAATGGAGATCCAGGCAAGGAACCAACACCAGTAGTCGATGAGTTTTGTCCGAAAAGGTCGGAAGAGGATGATGCTGGCGTGGAACGAAAAACAGAGTTGAACAGCCAAGTACCAGTCGTCGGAGATGCTGGGGCGCAACCAAATAGGGGGGATGTGAAAGTGCTAGATGCACTAGCTTGGACAGGAGCTTGCTTTGGCCCAAAAGGTGAAGGAAAAATCGCTGGAGTTGCACCAAAAACTTCTGTAGTAGTTGAGGAGGAAGCTACTGGCGAGCTACCAACATCAGGTATCGCAAAAGCATTGTTCCCAAACAGTGAACCAGAATTATGCGCGTGCATTGTCCCGCTTGTAGGTGGTGTAGGAGCAGCAAATGTACTGAACCCGAATTTGGGTGTTGAGGCAGGAGATTGCGCTGGTCCAGAACTAACGGATGTGATGGCAGCAGGAGCGGATCCGAAGCTGAATAGCGAAGAACTGTGAAGTGGAGATGAAGTTGAGGATGTGGAAGTGGCAGACGCATCGGAACCAGAGGTAGCTAGGAGATCGCCAAATATAGGAGATAGCGCTGGTCCCGAACTAACGGATGTGATGGCATCAGGAGTGGATCCGAAGCTGAATGGTGAAGAACTTTGAACTGGAGACGATGTTGAGGTTGAAACCGTAGCAGCAGAATCATGTCCAAGAGCTTGAACTGGAGATGATGTTGAGGTTGAAACCGTAGCAGCAGAATCATGTCCAAGAGCTTGGACTGGTCCCCAACTAACGGATGTGATGGCCGCAGGAGTGGATCCGAAGCTGAATGGTGAAGAACTTTGAACTGGAGATGATGTTGAGGTTGAAACTGTAGTGGCAGAATCATGTCCACAAGCTTGAACTAGTCCGGAACTAACCGGCACTGAAGTGATGGATGAGCCAATCCTATCTCTCGGTTCGGATTCTTGAGTATCGAGTATGCCTGGATTGCTACACTGGTAACAGTTGCTGCACTCTGGCTCAGAAAACTCAATCTTCATTCTTCTTTCAATCTTTCAAACTGCTAACCACAAAAAAAAAGGACACAAATTTGATTAGCATTAGAGGATAACTTGCAGAAACTAATTCGAATTGCAGAAACTAAGTAACAGAAACCCTAAATCCAGATCGATTAAGAAAGTAATTTCCACTCAAATTAACGATTTTTATACACCAGAAAGTAACGATCTTTTATTCACTACATAACAGGAATAAACGAGTGATTGTCGACAGAGGAAACAGTATGTGAAAGCGTGGAACAGAAGCAACACAAGAACCCTAACTACAAAGAGAAAACATGATCGAACCCAAATCAAGCAAAACAAAGACAAAGAAGACCAAGAGATACTGATCGGTATTCAAAATTGTTGCAAGAATCAAAATTGCCCAAAATCGTCAGAGTTTAAAGAAAAATCCAACCTTTTTTTATCAAGTAGGAAGCAGGGGAACGACCAAGTGACTGAAGGAGAAGCTTACGGAGACGACAACAACAATGATGCGGTTTCAGAATCTGATGATGAAATCAAAGTTAGGGTTTGTGTGAAGAAGAAGAAAAAGAAGAGAAATTTGTGGTTTCAATTTATAGGAAACGATTTCTTCAATTTGCCTGCGTCGCTCTGACGCTTCCTCTAAGATTGTTTTTTTCTTTCTTTTCTTCCTGTGGCGTTGTTTTAACGCCGGACGTTTAGGCAATCTAATGGAAATCTCAATCAATATAAAGATCAAATAAACTAGTAGAGATATATAATTTTTACTTCTTACAACAGACAATTATATATATTTTTGAAATTGAAAAATTAATAAGTACATGACTTTACTTGACTTTAAATCAATTCTACTAAAAATGAAAAAAAAAAAAAAAAAAAACTTAATTTGCCCCCAAAAAAAATTTAATAAGAGAAAAAGTATGTTTTGTCACACAAAACTTTAACCAAAACAAGACTTTAATTGAATTTAAATTCATTGTACATAAAAGTAATATATGAGACATGCTTAATTTTAATAAAAAATTTTTTTGGAGATATTAAATATTGTCAAAACAGGTCGGAATCTGCAAACCAAACCCAATCTATCTCATTATGGATTGAAAATAGGCAAAATAGTTTAGATCAACATCAAAATACTTTATTTCAAAGTTTCAACCAATACTTCCACATAACAAAATGCTCTAAACGGAGCTATGATAATGCATCAAACATCCAAGGCACGACCATCCAGCATGAAAGAAATGCCCGAATCTACAAGGGTATCTACACATGCTCTGCTAGAAGGCATATTCTGAAGTTTCAAGACATACTCAATTTGTGGTTTTGAGGCTCCTCTCTTTAATATATTGGTAAGTTTGTAAGTTTATTTTTGTTCTTGTATCATTCATCCCGGTGTTCGTTGTTGTTGTGACACCTACTTTTCAGTATCATTCATCCCGGTGTTCGTTGTTGTTGTGACACATACTTTTCTAATCTATGTAATCGTTAACAAAGTTTATAAACCATAAAGTTTAGCAAAAAAAGAAATCTTTGAAAGAAAAGGGGAAAATCACATTTTTAACCCTCAAAATGTAACTGGAAGCACTTTAAACCTTGAAAGAATTCTACTAACACTACAAACCACCAAGATTGTTTTATTAACACTTTAAACCTTCAAACTAACTTTTCTGTTTGCAAAGCTATAAAAAATGATGAAACAATCAATTTATGTTTGTTTAATATATATTTATTTAATTTAATTTAAATTCTAATTACTTTTATTATTTATTGCAATTAATAAAAATCTATAAAAACAAGAAAAAAACTTTATTTTCTTCGTTTACTCACTGTCCGACCATGAAATTTCTTGATAAACTGTTGAAACAATCTTTTAAACTGATCCATAAGCGTTTTCACTCTCTCCGCTGGATAAATAGGAATCTCATAATATCAATTGAATAAAAAGATGGTCAACATATACAATAAACTAAATAAAAATCTGAAAAATTGTGGTCGGACGGTGAATAGTCGAAGATGATGATTTTTTTTTTACTTTTTTATTTATCATCAAAATTGTAATAAATAATAAAATTAATTAAAATTTAAATTAAATTAAAGAAATATATATTAAACAAACATAAATTGATTGTTCCATCATTTTTTATAGCTTTGCAAACAGAAAAACTAGTTTGGAAGTTTAAAGTGTTAGTAAAACAATCTTGGTGGTTTATAGTGTTATTAGTAGAATTCTTTCGAGGTTTAAAGTGCTACCCAGTTACACTTTGAGGGTTAAGAATGTGATTTTCCCGAAAGAAAAGTATGAGTTTTGTAATATTTGCTGAAGAATAAGATAGAAACAAATATTTGTAAAAGAGTAGACTAAGAAAGGAAATAGAATTAGGGTCACAATTAAGCCGGTATAAAGAGATTCCATAATCAAAAGAAGAATAAATATAGTGGAAAAAGGATATTAAACATTTTTTAAGTCAAATATCAAAATAGCTAAAGTTAAATTTCCTTTTAATTAAACTCTCTCCCTAAACTTTGGTATTATAAATGTACATTGAGCAATGGAATAACACATCACACACACAAAAATTGTTCAAGTCTTTGTTTCTTTTCAAAGACTTATAGCAGCAAGAAACATGAAAAGCTCCTTCACGTTCACCATCTTCTTCTTTGCTCTTCTCCTTACATCATCTTGTTATCATCTCTTTCTCAAAAAAATTTGTAAGATTTTGTGAAAATAACTAATAATATAATTATGTGTTTGGTGTATATATAGGTGTGGTGATGAGTGCTAGGATGCAAGAAAGCAAAAACGGTATATTATTGAAGCCTATGACATGCAATACCAATGCAGATTGTGCTAAGTTTTGCAAAGGTCCAATCCACAACTGCCTATATCATACTTGTGCCTGTGTACCGGGAAATCCTCATTGTTGCTAGAAACACATAAAGTTTCTAAAATTCTTTTGCTTCTGATTCAATATTTTATTTGCATTGGATTTGGATTAGTTTTCACACAAAAATAAAATAAAATTATGTTTCCTTGTTAGTCTACTTGATTTTGTAAGTGCATTCACAAGACGCAAAATCGATATACACAACTAGACCGAACAACTTAAGCTGATCAGCAGTATTACATATGACATTGGAACCAAGAAAGATTATATATTAGTTGAAAGAAACGACTTCTTTGAGTCATTAGGAAGAAAGAAGATCAACAAATTAAACATTTTTGATGCTTAAGTTTTAAATTTATTAACACTCGCTGATATGTATAATCGCTATACATGCACATAAGAGGAAGCTAGAGATTACTATGTGATGTGTATTACTTATTAAACCTTTGAAACTGGAGAGAATAAAGACATTAGATAGTCATAAATTTGACAGAATTGTTTTTTTTTTTTTTCTTAATCAAAACAAAGACTTAGTCCTACAATTTGGAAGACAGAGTTTGATGCAAAGAGTAAAGAAATTACTGCAGACTCATGGCGGCGAATGGGAGAAGAATGAAACCTTGTACAAGATAGGCTTGAACTGCTGGAGAGTAATGAAATTACTGCAAACTCATGGCGGCGAACGGGAGAAGAATGAAACCTTGAACAGGATAGGTTTGAAGTGCTGGAGTTGTGCCTTGAGCAGCAAGAGTTGTACCAAACATCATAGGACCAGAACTAGCGGTAGGAAAGAACAACCCGGGAGGAGTTGTAGCAGCTGATGGAGGAGTTGTGGCACCATTAAAAGTGAAGTGACCAGAAGCAGAGGAGCTACTTGTTGCTCCACACACTGTGCATCCAAATGCTGGGGAAGAAACAGCAGCTGTTTCATGGGGTCTCTGAATACAGGAGCTTTCGGCAGGAAATGTAGTAGAGAACGATGAAAAAGAACTCGGAAACTGGGAACCGAAACCAGTGAAAGGCGCATTAGGTTGACCGAAACCACTAGGTGAAAATGTTGTTGCACCACCAGTAGAAGCAGGGAAGAAACCAAAAGAAGGACCATTAAAGTTTCCTTGCGTTGTACCAAAGTTTGTCCTCTGATGATGATCAGGTACGCTTGGAGAAGCAAATATTGATGGCGACACAGTTGATGGTGAAAAAACAGCGTTGGGTCTTGAGCCTATGGGAGAGGCATGAGCAGCAGGAAACGACCCACCTGAACAAGAGATTAGTCAAAATCACAGAGATATAAACGAGAAATTAATGTAACAAGGATTTAAATTATGAGTTAGTTACCTATACCTCCTTTCTTGTAATCTTCCCACCTTAATTCTTCAGGGCTTTTGTCTAGATAAGGGTTGGAAGCAGATATATTTTGTCCATCATGCGAGCTCCGCAAGAGAGTAGTAGCTCCATTGAAACCAAAAGGTTGAGGAGATGATGTTTTAACACCAGCAAAGGCTGAACCACCAACAGAGTAGTAACTTAGTGGATGTTGCGCTGGCGCAAAAAGTGAAGAAACACTCGTTGCAGATGTACCAAAAACTGATGCAGTAGTCGAAGGGTTTGGTCCGAAAAGGTTAGAAGATGAAGATGCTGGCGAGGAACCAAAACCAGGTCTAGCAAAAGAACATTCACACCTTGTAGGTGCTGGGGTGCTTGAAGCACAAACAGAAGTATTCTTGGGAAAATCTTGGGACGGCCCATACAGTGAAGAAACACTCACTGGTGTTGTACCAAAAACTACTGTACTAGTAGAGGAGGATGCTGGCAAGACACCAACATCAGGTCTGGACCAGGCCCATTCAACACCGCGCTCTGTAGAATAAGAATTAAGAGCCCAAGTCATATCTTGCGCTGGCCCAAACAGTGAAGAACCACGCGGTGGAGGTGGTGGCACGTAACCAAATGGGAGGAAGCTAATGGGTGTGGAAGTAGTAGACGCACCAGAACCATAAGTAGCTTGTACAGGAGCTTGGAAGGCTGGTCCGGAACTAACGGATGTGATGACAGCAGGAGGGGAACCAAAGCTGAATGGTGAAGAACTTTGAACTGGAGATGATGTTGAGGTTGAACCAATAGCAGCAGAATCATGTCCAAGAGCTTGAACTGGTCCGGAACTAACCGGCACTGAAGTGATGGATTCTTGAGGATTAAGTATGCCTGAGTTGCGACGATGGTAACAGTTTCTACACGTCTCTGGCTCAGAAAAACCAACCCTCATTCTTCTTTTGATCTTTCAAACTGTTAACAACGAAGAAAAAAGAAACACATTAATTTAGGATTAGAGGATAAGTATCCGAAATTGAATCGAATTGCAAACTAATAAGTTAACAAAAAGTAGCCATTTTTATTCAATACAGAGCAGGCAAAGGAGAAGATAACGAATCGATAAGGAAACAGTCTGTGAAAGCGTGCAAAAGAAGCAACTCAAAAACCCTAATTAATTGCAAAGAGAGAAAATGATCGAACCCAAATCAAGCAAGACAAAGACAAAGAATATCAGTACTAAAATTGTTGTAAGAATCAAAATCGAACCTTTGAACAAGTAGGAAGCGGAGCAACGACGGAGAAATCAAAGTGAGGGCTTATGATTGAATTATGAAGAAGAGAGCACTTTGTGGTTTCATTTTATAAACAAACGAGATTTGACTCTTTAACGCTTCCTCCGAAGATTGTTTTTCTTTATGTTCCTGTGGCGTTGTTTTCAAGCCGGAAGGCTCTCTAATCACTTTCTCTATGATTAATATTTTTATTTTAAATTCATGAAATCTCTGTCAAGTTTAACTAACGTTTAACTATATGCACACAAATTAAGAAATTATTAATGTTGTTAGTTTTTCAATATAAAAATATTATTAATTATCTACCTAAACATAATTTAACCAATAGTAAATCAAGTTGCATAATAAAAATAAATATAAAAAATAAAAAAAGTAATAAATTTTGCATCGAAAACTGAAAACGACAACTAATTAAAAACAAAATTTTTTATCTAAAACGACAACTATTCGAAAACGGAGGGAGTATAAAACTAGAAACAAGTTGATTAAAAAAAAATCGGAGTGTCACATTAAACTTTGGAAAAAAAGAACTATAATTTATTTGAAGACTTTAACTATAATTTGTTAATTAGTGTTTTGTTTTGTTAAACTACGGGAGTTTCAGACCTTTGCCCCATAATTTGTTAGATTATTGTACGTGTTATCGGGTGTGTGTAAGTTTATATTTTTTCAACATAATACGATAGAATTCTTATAGTTTTGGTGATATTATTAATATTGTCAAAATATGTTAAGTTTTACGATATTTTAAAAGTTTAAATTGATTTATATATTTTTTGTTTCTCTATGATGAGTTTGTGTGTATATATTGAACTTGGCAATGTTTAAAAAAAAATAAATTGCGTATATTAAAAAAATTTATTTTTATCTATAGTCAAATTAAATTGGCTTAGTTACCAAAATAGCTAAAGTTAATTTCCTTTTAATCAAACTATCTCCCTAGAATAATTTTTTTTTGGTTTCTTTATAATGCTTATATAGTAAAAAATAATTTCTGAATGGGAAATATTTGTTTAGTCAAATTAAATTGGATTAGTTACCAAAATATCTAAAGTTAATTTCCTCTAATAAAAATATCTCCCTAATATATATATTTTTTGTTTCTTAATAATGAGTTTATGTGTATATATTGAACTTGGCCATGTTTTGAAAATTAAATTACGTATATAGAAAAAAATGATTTTTGAATGAAAAATAGTTTAGTCAAATCAAATTGGCTTAGTTACCAATATAGCTAAAGACTAAAGTTAATTTCCTTTTACTCAAACTATCTCCCTAAAATATTTGTATATATCAATGGAATAACACATCACACAAAACTTCACAAGTCTTTTTGTTTTCATCACACGGTTTAGACTTTTAGCAGAAAGAAACATGAAAAGCTCCTACACATTCACCATCTTCTTCTTAGCTCTTCTCCTTACCTCTTGTTAGTAATCTCTTCCTCATATTTGTGGATTTATTTATAATGTTATGATGAAAGTAATGAGTGATTAATGAGTTTGGTATGTATATATGTATATAGGTGTGGTGATGAGTGCAAGGATACAAGAAAGCACAAACGATATATTGAAGCCTATAACATGCAATAGCAATGCAGATTGTGCCAAGTTTTGCAAAGGTCCAATCCACAACTGCGTATTTCATACTTGTCAATGCGTACCCGGAAATCCTCATTGTTGCTAGAAAACACTCTCACACATTTTCTGATTCAACATCTTTTGCGTTGGAATTTCAAATAAAATTATGTTTCCTTGGTTGTTGACTTAAATTGCGTTTACAAGAAGCAAAATCGTTACAAACTAAACCGAATAACTAAGAACAAGAAGATATATAATATTGAAAGATACGACTTCTTTGAGTCATAAGGAAGAAAGAAGAACAAACATTTTTGATATTTATTTGTAGCTAGATTCTGGCTGATACTTATTTGTATGGTATGTATAATGACTATATATATGCACATAAGAGGAAGCTAGAGGTTACTTTGTGATGTGTTTTAAACCCTTGAGATTGGAGAGAATGTGACATTAGGCATGAAAGAAGAAGGGACTTCTCTTGAATACACCGGAGTTTCCATTTCGATAAGCTCTCTGAGTGAACTGCATCTAGACAAAGAGATGTTTCTCTCTATTCTTGAGACTTCACTTCTGTGAAACTCGGCGACACAGACTGAGAATGCTTGTAAAGCTGATAGCTTCGCGTGGAAGTTTACCTCGTAATGTCCTTCTCTGATAAACACCATTGTGATTGCTGGTGTGATCTCTTTCCCACCCTGAAACACAGTTTCTTTATATCTTAAGATCAAGAGAGACAAGTTGAATCACACTTTGTTACCACAAGGAAAAGATTCTTACCTCTATGAAAAGTTCCAAACCAAGATGATCGTTGGTGAGTTCTGGAGATTCTAGAACAAAAAGGTGACAGCCCATGTCCCATCCGCTACAGTCACAGCCTCCACCTGATCTCCATCTTTGCAGTATCGGTGTAGGACATGAGTTTTCGGTATCAGGAAAACCGTGGTTTCCTGTTGGAACTATGACTTTCATCGCTCGACTCGGTAGTTTACTGTTTGTAGAAGAGTCTTGAATAACAATTGCTGCAATCTCTAGTCCTGGATGTAAATCTGAGACAGGCCAAGGATCAGATGCAGTGTTCTCTGAACGTTTCGATAGACTACGAGTCAATCCTCGGTTGAAACTGTTCTGCCTTGGGAGCTTTTCTTGTATTTGATCAGATGCAGAGTTCTCTGTTTCTGAAAATATCGATCCTCGTCTGAAACTGTTCTGTCTTGACAGGTTTTCATGCTTGAAGCCACTTCTCCTTGCACGTGCGATGTCGAATAGAACGAATTCAGACACAGTTGATTCCACAAGATCTTCTTCATATGGTTCTTGCTCTAAGCAGATTTGAGTTGAAACTTGCATCTGTCCTATTAGTGAAGATTCTTGACCTGAAACATTCAATCGCTGTTCACCCAGATTCTTATTGCTTCTACCACCAATGTAGCGAAACGAATAGACAAACCGAGAGTCATTATCATCCATTCTTGTACTGGCCATATATACATCATCCGGGCGGTCTAGCGAGAAGATGAAAACAGGCATCCCAAGTTCATATTCCATACTGAGATGAGCATGTAGATGAACAGGTGAAGACTTTCTCAATGACTTGTTTCTTGAGAACATTTCTTCACCTGATTTTGGTAACAGAGGATTTCTGTTTGAGAATGGATTGGACATTTTCTTGATACGGTTAAACCAGCTCGTTGAGCTTGAAGTATTAGTAGAAGAAGACTCATTGCTTCCCTTTGAAGAAGGCATAAACGGGAGTTGCATTCTAGCAGAGAATGACTTTTGCAATCTTGGTTCCATGTTTCTCTCTGAACCTAAAGGCTTAGCTAATCGTTGTTGTTGCTGATGTCTCCCATTCGTGTTCAACCGTACCCCGAAAAAACCACCAGAAGAGTATTGCTCAACTGAAAACTTTTCAGCATCAGATATGTTCCTTCTTCTTCTTTCCTTGGATCCCTGATTGAAAAAACCGTGTCTCTCCTTCGCCTTGTTTCCCGGTTTTGGAGGTTTCTTGCACGAGGAGTTAATCGCCCGATAAAACATAAACTCATCCTCTTCCCCTGCCTTTTTAGAATCGAAAAAATCTCGTAGAGTAGGAAGAACATTTTCAGAACTCTGTGCCATCTTTTGCTGATTTTGTATAAATTAACTATTCTCTAGCTATTACCATCAGAAAATGACCTAACTTCTGCAGAAGATTTGTTCAAGGCAAGAACCTGTATCAGTATTGTGTAATGCCAAAGAAGCTAACAAACAGATAATGCAAATGAATATAGTCTATAGAAAGGATCACTTACCAGTCTTGATGAAACTGTCACTGATAACCTTAACAAAGAGGGAAGTTAAAATTGCAAAATCTAGGATAGAGAAGTCAATAAAATTTAGCCTACGCTCTTACAGATCTAAAGTAACATAGGAATCAAGTAGTTGTGAATGTAATGAAAGCAACAGACAAAAGTTACACACAAAAAAAAAATTCATTTTAAAAGACAAAAGCTATATTTCACTTGCATTCTAAGCCAATCATAGAAAGGGTGTGGAAAAAGTAACAATCGAATACCAATTGATGGTTTCAGAGTAGTGATCCTCAAGACTGATTTAAAAAAACAAAAAACAAAAAACCTTTAATCATATGCATCATACAATTGATGACCGTTACATTAAAATAGGAAAAGTAAGTAGCTCTCTTTGAACATGAACAATAATAAGCCATGTAAAAAAAAATGATAAAACTAGCAGAGAAAATTATGTTTTTTTTTTTGTTATCTTCATGGGCTTTTTACAGAAGCTTGGATAATTAAGTCTATAAAGCCCAATTTGGTAAATACTACATGTATAAATATGTTAGATGTTTGAGTTAAAGCATCCAAGGGCCCATAGCTCAGTGGTAGAGCATTCGACTGCAGATCGAGAGGTCACCGGTTCGAACCCGGTTGAGCCCTTTTTTTTTTTTTTTTTTTTCATCTCGGAACTCCAGTTAATTAGGGATGTTAATTTAGACTAATTATAGGCTATGAGTAAAAGTATTTGTGGCCTTGTGTTGGTAACTATGAAATACTGAGATCTGAAGAATGAATCCAACAGATCATTAACAACCAAAAATCAAAGTACTCTCTTCTTTACATTACATATTATAAAACATTGATTACAAATCATGGAATCCATCATAGCAAATCCACAATCACACCATTTCCAGTTTTTCTAAAAATCAAATCTCCATCAAAGTATGGAACTTTTTTTTCTTCTGTATAACAGGGAAATGTTCATGCCAGTAACCAAGAACATAAAAAGAGTCTAATTCGCGGTAGTAGACCAAATGAATGCTTCGAGTATTTGGAAAGAAAAAAAGAGAAGGAAAGGGATACACAAGCGGAACCTGAAACTGACCAATGATGATGATGCACACGATATGAGAACTCTGTAGTAGCTTCTACTCCAGAGGATGAGATTTGATCTTATTCTACAAAGCCTATGGGGGCTTATCGGTTTAATGTAAGAAAATAAATGGTTTTTAATTTTCCTCTCTCATTTTCCTCTTCGTGCTTTCTGTTATCATCATCATAGCCTGTTTCTTTTGCTTTCGAGCATTGATCCGTCTTTAAGAGCAGCGTGTGCTTCGTTCTCTTGTCCTAGAGCTGATAGAGCTACAGCTTGAAGATAGGATGCGATATGCCAAGCAGGAGATATCACTTGAGCTTGCATTGCATCATTCAGCGCCTCTTGGGGCATCTCATTCATCAGGTAACACAGACTTCTTCTTGCATAAACAGTTGGGGAAACCATTGTCCCGCCCTCAATGAACTGTCCAAACACATTTTTCGATCAGAATTTGTCATAGGGTTGCCAGGATTTACTCGCTACCCTTTCTCTGGAAACTTAAAACGCAAAGACAAAAACAATGGCAGTAGAAAAGATCTAACCTGAGAATAGCAGTCGATGGCATTTGCAAATTCTTTATGTCGAAAAGCAACATCACCCTTTTTCTTGAAGTTTAACGAGTCCTGCATCTGATTGGTCCACATCTGGAACGAAAGCTGAAATTTTTGCAGAGAAGAAGCAAGCAGAAAAGTTGATCAGATTACAATAAGAAACAAGCTAGCCCAATCCCAAATACACAATGAGACAAGTACGAGAGTGTGATTAATAACAAGGTTTGGAATTAAGAAAGAAACCTCTGTGGCTGCACCCTCATCATCTTTATAGCTAAGCTTTTCAAGAATCTCATGTATGGCAGTTAGATCTGTTCTTAGGCATGCTTCTCCAAGTGGTGAAAGGGGTGTCGTGGAGGCGCTGCTTGGTATGCCCATCAGTTGATGAGAAGGAGTCTTACATGAATTAACCAGTTTATTATTAGTGTCGGAGATAATTTTTTTGAAAGCAAAAAAAGATAAGTAACCAAAAGATACAAGAGCTTGGGAAAGATAAATGGAAAGTAAACTAGTTAATGGTAGTAGGAAAGCACCTCAAGATCCTTCTGTAGAGGGATCATTGCAGTAACTAGAGACTTCGGGTTAGGCCGCTCTCGGGGCTCATACTGCAAACATCTAGAAGCTAACCGTATTAGTTCAGTCCCATCATCGCTTGAAAATTGACCCTCCAAGCACGAGTCGATCAACATTTGAATGTTCCTGTCCCGTATGAGGTCCAGAGCCTAATAATAATACACAGAACAAGTAAAGTTTTAGTCAGAAAGATAAAATCTTCTCCGGGAGATTTGATATATATTCGGCAATGATATGGTGGAGATAGATAGATTTAGTATCTTAATCATAAGCTTACATGGCTTGGAGGAATATGTTTTCCACTAAGAAGATCAAGCAACAGAGTTCCATAACTGTACATCACACTTTCTGGTGTCACGCGACCTGTAGAAACAAACACACAAAACTAATAAGAAAACTAGCCACAATCCAAATAGAGAACACTAATATGCAAGAGTTCAAGTATATACCTGTTCTGAGATACTCGGGAGGAGTGAACGCCAGGTTGGTACTATAACTCTTTCCATCTCTACTATTTTTCATCAGACCAAAGCACGAAAGTCTTGGATTTGAGTCCTAAAAATACAAAACATATGAGGATTTTTGTATGGACATATTAACATCAGCAAAAGTTGAAAAAAATCAAACATGTAAAGCTTAACTTACATCATCAAAGAGAACTCTATAAGCATTTAAGTCATGGTAGAGCGCACGACCTTTGCCAGTACAATATTCTAAAGCTTGAGCAATATGTAAAGCTACTCTTAGTCGCATCGCCCACTTCATCGGTTGTGACTCCCCTAAACAAACAGAATTATAGTTAATACAGAATCATAACCAAAGAGAAGAAGAGTGTATCAGATGAAGTAAGTTACAATAAGTTCAGTAACTTACAATGGAAAAGATGCTTAGCCAAAGTTTCATTAGGCATAAACTCAGCAACAAGAAGTCTCTCTTCACCTTCATAACAACATCCAAGAAGATTTGCCATTCTATAGTTCCTTAATTGACCAACAGCTTTAGCTTCCTCCTATAAAAACAAAGACCAGAGATTCAAAATCCAAGAATCCATATTGACATAAAGGTAAAGACTTTATTAAGCTATTTACCAGAAACTGACGAGAATCAGGCCAAGCTTTCCTATTAAACCTTTTAACAGCAATACGTCTTTGATTATCCAATTTCCCTTTATACACAACATTTGGAGCTTTCTCACCATGCTCTGATACTATATTCTCTGTAGCAAATCCTGATGTTGCGTTCCTTAATGTCTCAATTGAGAATTCACGAAATTGAGGCAAATCATTCCCTTCACCTCTCCTATCTTCATCTAAACAAAACCACAAAAATCACCATTAGAACAATCCAATCACAGAGACAACAAACAAACAAACCCTAGAAGGAAAAAAAACTCGATCTTTATTTACCTAATCCTGTGACTCCATGATTGGATCCTTCAGGTTCAGAAACACAACAAAATGCACATAACTTTGAAACCTCACAACCCATTTCAGTATTTGTTATAGTCAAACCATAAACCCTAAACCGCGTCTATTTTGAGCTGATTTATAAAAATCAAAACTTTTATAGTTTAAACAGATCAAATCTGTGAAGAATTTCTTCAGAATTCCAGATATAAAAAAACCCAGTTTTGTGATATTCTTCTTCCACTTTACGAAGGAGAAGAACAACAACACCAAAAAAGAGTCAAAATCTGAGAAAACGATCTGTGAAAAAAAAAAAAAACAGAAATTGAAGGAAGAAGAAAGAAAGAGAAAAAGGTGGAATGACAAATGAAGCCGCTCGTGTGAGCTCAAAGGGAAAGCTCAAAGAACAGAGAGATTGTTTTCTGCAACTTTCTTTATTTTTTCTATCCTTTTGTTGGAGAGACAAAAGCAGAGAACTTTGCCAGAAAGTTAAGAAAATTAAAAATTAAAAACACTTTTTTTTTTTTTTTTAAGAAAGAAAGAAAAAAAGAGAGAAACAGCAAAGCAGCAGGCCTCACCAAGTCAACTCACCAGTGGGTCAAAAAAATATAACTAAGAAACAACTCATTTTTGCTATCACCGCTAACCATCCATTTGGATTTTTAAATAACCATTTTTTTTTTTTTTTTTTTTGTCATCTAGATTTGTATTGATAAAGGGGTTACAACAAAAGTCTGGACATAAACCAAAAACATAAAGGTTAGTGATACAAGAATTTACACTAACCACCAAAAAATGAGACTATCTAAACGTCCACTTAGTAGTCAAAAGGGAGACTGATCTCCACAATCATCAGAAACAGAGGCAGCCTTTTTCTCACTTTCAAATAATTCACTCAACCACTCCGGACCACCCGTCGCAACGTATGACTGTCCAAAGACCTCCAAAGATGCACTTTGAGCAATGAGAAAAGCACCTCTATTAGATGATGGGTCTTCATACTTTAATCTCCAGTCCTACAAAAAATTCATTCTAACCATGATTTCCGAAAATAGGTAGCTAAAAGATGGCCACGCTCTCGGTCTCTCCATAATCTTGACTATCTTGGGGAAATCCATCGCGAAACTCACTCTGTTCAACTTATGGCTAATCATACTCTCAATGCACCAAAGGAAACAATGAGAGTTTGCATCATCTCGGCTTGCCATGTTTGCAAAAGCCCTTCTGCTATGCATGATCATCATCCCTTCCGCATCCCGGATCACCCAAGCACATCCACCAATATTGGTATGTTTAGACCAAAAACAACTCATATTGCACTTTAACCATGAAGCTGGCGGTCTTTTCCAAATCTGTCTAGCCACCACTTCATCATTTATTGTCAATGCTTCCTCCTTCTTGTCTTGGACTTGAGCTAAAAACCAGAAATCTGCATCTTCTTTGCACATAACAACAGAATCAAGGGAAGACAAACAAGTTCCTTCAAAACATATCAAGTTGCGGTTTTTCCATATTCTCCACAAAATCCAGGGAAAACTCCTCCTAATCTCCACTGGTAATTGTCTGTCTTTACTCATCTTGAAAAGGTAGTGAAGATTTGAGTGAACAGAAAGTGGATCAAAACCGGTTGGAGGATTAGGAAACAGAGAAAGCGCCCACACCTGTCTAGCTAGAGAGCATGTGAAAAGCACATGATTGATGGATTCCATCTCATTCCCACAGATCTGGCATCTATTATCTCTATCCATGCCCAACGCTACTTAGACCGAGACTT